ACGGTTCCAAAACCTACATTGCCTTCACAAACAAAACTGCCGTCCACATTGATTTTCAAAACATTTATCTTTGTGGGCTTCCACAAAAAAACTGGCATTTCTTCTTTAAGTGCTTGCGAAGAACCTTGCCATTTTTTCAGCAAAATCATCTTCCTCTCCTTCAAGGCCATAAAGGACAAAAGAGTTAAGTGCGGGTTAGGAGTCTCATTTTCAAAAACACATTTATTTCTGCTCTTCCAAATTGTCCAAAGTAACAAAGCCGAATAGTTTAGCAACTCATCCTTCATGTTTTTCGTTTGACTACAATTTAGAATCCACTCTTCAAACCAACTTCTAAAATAACTTGATATAGATTATGAGTTATAGCCAAAAGAGCATGCATAATTGTTTCTAGTTCCTTGGAACAAATTGGGCAGATATTGGAGTGTGATACTTTTCTTTTAGCTAAATTAACCTTGGCTGCTATTACACCCTACAAGCATCTCCAAATGAAATGCTTGATCTTTGGGTTTATTTTTATCTTCCATAATTCCTTCCATGGCGCTCTACTTTGATTGATGTTTCTGAGAATTGACTGATCTTTAGTTTGGGTGTCAAACCTTTCCCTGTTTGCAAGGAAATAGGCCGACTTTACAGTGAATTTTCCAGTCGCACTTCCTTTCCATATTAGTCTGTTTTCCCGATTACCAGAAGCTAAGGGATTTTTTTTTTAAATTTGATTTTCAATTTCTTTTGTAAAGCATTCCCTAATGATATCTTTGTTCCACCATCTTCTTTCTTGATCTATTAGGTCCTTTACCCAAATAGGACCATTTTTTCTAGGATTCAGACCCATTAACCTCTGGAGTCTGAGGAATCCTTTAACCAAAGATCTCCCCAAATTTTAACCTTTTCTCTTGAGTTAATTGCCCAAAAAGCTCATTTCTTAAGTATTTCCTTTCCAGGTAAAAGACTTAGCCACCCCAAGAACCCTCTTTGAAGCAAGTTGTCATTTAGGAAGTTTTTTTCATTTTAAATATCTTGCTTTTATCACTCTGCACCACAAGTTGTTTTCTTCTGTGCAAAGCCTCCAAGCCTGCTTTGCCAGAAGGGTTTGTTAAAACAGCCTTTTTTTTTTTAAGTTAACTGACCCATAAGGGAGGTGGGTATTTGTCGTAATTTACCCTATCTTTTTTGTTATTCTTTCTGTCGAATCTGCCCCATCTAGGGCAGAGAGTCAGATTTGCTTCAGATATCACGATGCGGCTACAGAGAAGAGAAGATGATAGGATCTTAAAAAAATCATCTTGCTTTCAGCCAAGCCATGCTATGCAGGTTGATTTGCTTGACACTGGCCGTAGATGCTGTACATAGTGTCTCTTTAGCGCCTAGAGATATATATGAATGAACCCACATGGGAAAGCGAGAGATTGCAATTCTAGACTATCATATTTGGCAATAATGGTACGTAATGGTGAAGAGGCATTTTCTCAAACGACAGGAATCAGTCAGATCGGACCTGAATTGACGTAATAGAATTATTCCGGTGCTTCTTCCCTCCTTGTGGAGTTGGAATATATGAAATGGGTACAGAAATCGAATTTCTCCACCTCTGGCAGTCTGGCGTCAACCATGCACATGCTTTACTTTTAATTTATTGATAAAGAGCTTTTTGTATATGGGTATTAAATTAAGCATCTCTCTTATTCATATATATATATATATATATATATATATATATATATATATATTTACAAGATCCAGAACGGATAATGGAAATGGAAAAGAAAAAAAGCATAAAACATAATTAATTCCTTATAATAATATCTTTCTATTAAATTAAAACTTATCTTGTACGCTACTAATTAACAACATATTTAAAAGAAAAGTTTCATCCCTATTCTCTAATATATAGTATAAACAGGGCCTGGGGATGTGGAAAATGGATGAATGCCCTCTCCCCCGTACACTCTAGACTGCTGTGTGGTTCTGAGATATAAAACATTAGCTTTGACCTTCTTTACATATTTTATTAAGTGCTGTTTCTCTTGTGAAAACATCACAATTCACAAGAGACAAGTACAAATATATATATCTATGTACATGTGTGTGTGACAACCCTTCTTCTTTGTAACATATTAAAAAAGAACCTCCAACATTAACAACAGAAAACAACCACTAAAATGCGAGATTTGCAGAGCATTAGAAAAAGGTTTTGCAAGCTTAAAATAATGTTTGTAACCCCACATCAAGTGCCCTACACCAACTAACTGATTCCATTTGTCTTCATGTCACAACAATCAGACTATCAGAGTGGTAACTGGTAAGGAAGGATACGAGTATTGCCACAAGTTGATGAATTGATGTAACATATTGTTTTCTTCGACCTAAAAAGAGTTGAGAGACAAGACAAAGCAGGATTTATTAACACAACTTTGTCGTATATATATGTATGCATTGCAAAGAATACCAGAACTGCATAAAATCGTTAATAAGATACTTGTTGGTTCGAAAAAGAAGAGCAAGAAGGCTTAGTTGGGTGGAGTATCAAGTATGTATTTAATAATGCATGTGTGGTGTTGGTTGCTTCCTCGTGTAGCAGAGGAGTTCCACGACTTTGACGAACGTGTCGGGAGTATCAACCAGAACTCCTGCTGCTGACTGCCGTGTCTTCGGCTTTATGTCGAGATTGGTCATGGTTATGTGGAAAATGAAAAGCCTGAGGATAAGAGCTCAAGCTTAGGTTCAGCTTTCTGTTAATCTATGTTTTTTGAATTGCTGTTGATTTGGACGTTCAGATCGTTTGGCCTGTGAATTATTCAGACAATCGGTTATGTTTTATCTCAAATTCGGTTGTAGTCAAAAACTGTTGAATCAGTCAACGATCTGTTGACCTGAACAGTCGAATCATCAATCTGTTCAATGATTTTTGACCGTTTTTTTTAGAATAGACTGTCCATTTGAACCAAATGATCGAACTGTAAACCCAAAAACCAATAAACAGAAAGGTTCCATTTTTGGATCATTTTTTAAAACCACGTGTTAACCTAATACGTGTTGCAAGTTTTTCTTTTTTTTTTTTTGAAAATGGTGTTGCAAGTTCATGAATTCTGTGAAAAGCCTGATATCCCATTGTTTTTAAATTGAAATAAAATATATATGAAAACATGCCTGTTTATTAATTATAATAATTTATTGATAAATATAGGTAAGGTGATGATATCCCCAGGAAGAGAAGTTGAGTTTAAAGTTTAAACCCATTTGAAAACGCAATGGGTCAGTTAAAAGGTGATTTCCCATACTTCCATTCGATCGATAATGGGTATTATATACGTGTACTAGGACACCTTTGCAAATAAACAAATTAGAAGTATAGTATGCAAGATTTGGGCCATTTCGCCTTGACTCCTTTTATACATATTTGCATCAGATGAGGAACTCACAAAAGTTCAGCATTGATGGTTAATTTTGGTTACTTCAAAAATTTTGGGTTAATCAAAGAAATGTGTTGACATATCACATATGAGAGACATTTTAATTAAAAAATGTATGTATGTGATGGATCATTAAAGTTATCAAATTTAACATTTTGAATATAAATAGAAATTTGTAATTTTGTAGTGATCAATTCAAAACATTTCATGAAAAAAAACCTCTTACACAAATTTATATTGGTCAATCCAAAAGGCTAAACCAAAACGTTTTAAGTAGAAACAGCAATAAAACCCTTATGTAATCGCTAGCAGAACAGATTCAGCGGGCCTGACCCATATGTGATTTCTGAATTTGAAACTAAAGTAGCGCAATTGAAAAGCATACAATGGGGGCGGATCAAGATTCGGGCCACCAATAACTTCAAATTTGAAACTACTGGACCTGAAGCATGTGGCATGAAACATCGGCGATAAATTGTATAGGAACACCCCAAGGTGCCAACCGGCTGGTTGATTGTAGCGGAAACTTGGGATTGAATCCCGCCTGCACCTGATTAGTTAGCACTTGAAAAAAAAAAAATTGTAAAAGAACGTAAAGGGTTAAATATAAGTTTCATATTTTATTTCTCATTTTTTATCCTTTTAATAAATACTAACTGTGCAATTTGGATTGCGGGCTCTACATTTGGGCTTGAAAAGGCCAGGTCACGACTCACGAGCATGGACCCAACTATTAGTTCATCAGTCAGTGCAACTGTAAATTTCATAATAGGTTCTGAGAAGAACAGTCCAACATTTATACTGTTTTAGAGCAAAATTAGACCTATAGTATTCAGTGGGGTTACTTTCCTTGTTGACAGAACATGTAGGTCCTCCACACTTGGTACTCTTGATGGATTTACAAGCCATGAAAACAAAAGTGCTTATTGCTTAGAATTTTTCTGATTTGAGATTTTACTCAAGTCATTCAATTCAATTTACTATCCTGTAGAAAAGCATCCTTTCTCTCTCTCTCTATCACCTATCTATCTATATATCTATTTATATATATATATATATATAATGTTACTATCAAGAAAAAAAATTTAAGGGGCAAAGCAAGGTTTTAACCCCATAACTACAACTACCAGGACAACCACACCAGCACCAAGAGCAATTATCTTGACTCGGTTTTTTGTATCTCCCAACATCAACCGGTTCTCTATCAGAGTTTGCAGAGCTGTTCTTGTCTTTGCAGAGCTGTTCTTGTCTTTTGAAACTGTTGCTGTTGCTACTCTTGTTCCTGCAATTACCAAACAAATGTGCGAGCCAATAATTATGCATATCAAGATTAAAACCAAAACGAAAAAACAAAGCCAATGTGAACCACTCCCCACTAATAGATGTCTTCTCACCTTATCATAGTTGTTCTGCAATTTCTCTTTATGAGTCTTCCTCAACTTTCCTAGACCCATGCTACTGAATCCCTTCTATGCACTGTCCTTTAGTTTGAATTCTCCTTCTCTTCTGCAATGACAGTTAACAATTTGGCATTTTTCAGTCCACTACCCAACTCCAGTTTCTTGGTGCTGTTGTCATTTGTCAATGTTCTCCTTGTCATCCTTCAAAATCTTGATTGCCTTTCGAATTGGTGTTTGCTTCTTGTTTGATGACTCCTCAGTGTCACTTGAATCTGAAGTGGTAAATGATGCTTGGAATCTGATCCAGGTGCTCCAAGGCTTAAGCCTGCTAGAACATTGGCCAGAGTTTGATTAGTAGCTGAAATCTCATGGGACGTTGGAGCCTCAACCAAACATGGGATGCATTCCTTGGTTGCTGAAATCTCATCAATCATAGCAGTAGACTCCTCAGCCACTGTATCTGAAAATGGCCAATACTTTTCTTTCTCTGCCTTTGGAACCTCATGGTCAGCAGCATCAATAGGAATGTAATCTCAGATTAATCAGCAACAGTATTCTCAACTTTCAATTGTATATCTTCAGGAACATCATCTCTTGTGGAACAACTATCAGAACTTGACTCCAAAAATGGATCACAGTTCTGCGGTTGTTCAGGAAATAGTTCCACGAAGTTTGAGTTCTCCTTGACAGGATCACATTTCAGCAATTGATCAAGGACGGAATCTTCAATTTTCAATTGGATGCTGATTCCAACCTTTGCCAAAATTTGATGGGTGGCATTTATCAGTTCCAAAGATCCAAGCTCCCCCTGAGAAATTTCAACAGTTTTCTCCGTTGGGTCTTCATGATTTGCTTCTGCACTGCATTTTTCAATCTCCAAACTGCTCATGTACTCATGTATTGCAATCTCCATGGATTCGGAATTCCCTAATTCTGGGATCAAGGAACGGTTTCTGCATAAGTGAGCATTGATCAGGCAACCCAATTCCCAAAAGAACAAAAGATGAAAAATGAAAAAGCAAAAAAGCACATTTTAAATGAATTAGACAAGAAATTGAGAACGTTCAAAAGAATAGAAATAAAGCAACATACCTCTGTCTTCCTAGACTTCATCTTTTACATCACTGAAGCAACATACATCTGTCTTCCTAGACTTCATCTTTTACATTACTGATCGATTTGGGCGGTTCATTGGGCAAGACAGACAGACAACTGGTCATCTTTTACATTACTGATCGACAGACATCTGTCTTCCTAGACTTCGGATGCCTTGTTTTCTTTCTTCTCCAAACCTTCACTCTCTTCCTCAGACAGACAACTGGGCAATCTTAATGTTGCAGGGTACTCAGATGTAAAGAAATAGTTTGTGGGAGATAAAACTGCTGGATCGTGCGAGATACAACCGTATTTTTTCGATTTTTATTATAGTGAGAGTAAAGGACATATATGCCCTCTATATTTTCTATATTTCCTGTGGAAGTAGAACATGTTCAGTGAAAATTCCAGAAACGGATGGTATTGGCTCTTTTATAAGTAGTATAGATATAGATGTAGATATAGATTAACCATATAATTGATTCTGAACACCACAAACCGATCTCATCCCCATTAATATTAATTGGGATACAAATCAAAGAACCAGATCTGGTTTAATCGGTTTGGTCAGTTCAGCTCTATGGGGTATATCGGACCCATTGATACCAACCAATTTAATATTTAGAAACAAGTAACATAAGGCCCCGTTTGGCATGTCTTTTTGTATAGTCTGTCGGTTGTTTACAAGCTCGGCAAACCACGATTCGGTCTTTTCCTATTTGGTTTGTGGCAGATCTAGCAGCTAAAAGTCAATACGCCGAAAAGACGCAAGAAGCCCAAATCAGGTAATTTTTGGAAAACTCCAAGTAGAGCTTGTGCATTTTTTTATTTGTCTTTGTGTGGAAAGAAAGGCACACTTTAATCAAATAGGCTTCAAGCTGTTCAGATCTTAATACAAAATCTTAATGCGTCTTTTAACTATTAGAGCTACCAGAAGACCTTCGCAAAAAAACTTATCAAATGGCCTTTTGTATACCTTGCTTCACCTGACTTCTTGATCTTTTATCAATTAGCGGACTGGCAAGATCATGATCTTCCTGATCTTTTGTATTATTATATCATTTGACGGTGAAAGAATGTTTAGGTAAGGGAGTTCCAAAGGCATCTACAAGATTTCCCTCTTTTTGGTAATACCTTTATATTTTTTTTTTTTACTTTGGTCCCTCTTTAATTGTGAAGATAAAATGTAATTTGAACTACACTTTTCATTCAATTCCCTCTCATTAAGTCTTATATTTAGGTTTATTAACTCTTATTCTTTCATTAAATTATATATTAATTAACCATATGAAATGAAAATAAATGTGACAAAGAACAATTGTTTTTATTGATGATAAAAATAAAATAAAAATTTAAAACAACCCAAAAAGGAGTTGTTTACTTGTTTAGTGGAAAGTCAACAATTCAACATTTTGGGTCAAATGTATCAACCTTTGATGTCATAATTAAATAACAATAAAAATTTAAAAAATATGAAAATGCACAAAAATATAAAATACAAAAAAAAATTGTAAAAACATTTGAGCACTTCTCTACTAATTAGTATTATCATCATCATTATCATAAAAAAATTGGCACATGCAAAAACCCGTACACACTTACTACTTACTTAAGGTACCCCTATATTTTGGAAAATTCAAGTGCCATTACGTATTGCCATTAAATTAGATAAAAAGACTATTTTATCCTAAACAATTCTTCAAGTATTTAAAATATACCAGAACAGAACCCAAATTGCAAACCAAACCCAATCTTGTCCTGCACTTCCGATTAGAGTGAAACATATCGTAAATACATGGGAATATGAAGATACATGAGTGAACAAGTAAATAGAGAGGTTAGACCCCATCGATTTCTTTTTCACCAAGAAAAAAATATGGGATTTCTAAAATGGTTGTTATGGAGAGCCAAGGATCAATGCAATATAGGGCAAAACAGCCTCTGAGGAAGCCCGAGCTCAACACAGGCCCTCATTGTCTAGTATCTTCAAATGATTCATAAACCAAACAATGGAAACCCCAAAACTGTTTCTCTGCAACTTTGGAGAAGAGTATCTCTGAAATATTTCATTAGCAATACAATCGATTTCATTGGAACCTAGTCCCGGTTACTTGAAAGGTTTCCATGGGACCCAGTTTGGGTTCAGGTTGTGAAGCAGAACTCATAGCTTGGGACTGGTAAGAGAGACGAGATTGGGTAGAAAAACAAGAGATTTGATGTTGATTTTGGCGAAAAAGTAAGGTTTCTGAAGGGGAGGTTTCTCACTTTTTTAACTTTTCTTTTCTTTTCACAATTTTATTATGATATTTTTTTTTTTTTTTTCTTCCTCTCAATTTTATGACAGCAAAAGTTTTTTTGGTTACATGATCGTATAGCCCAATCCCTCAATTACAAGTAGAGAGAGAGAGAGCATGTGTTTTTTGAAAATTATTTATTTTTCTGTGTCCAAACGAGGAAATTCCATATCTGATATTTTTTGAGCACCTTCTCTATGGCTGAGAAGAGGAAATTAAAAAGGCTGGGGATCCTGGATCCTAAAATATGAAAGCTTTGAAGAGCATAAGGTGTAGAGAGAGAAGAAAATGAACTTGAGGAGCTGCAAAAGGTAGAATCAAACTGAATTACCGGAGTACTCTTATCGAGGACACTTAGATTGTGTTTGGAATGTCACCAGAAAAAAAAGGTTGTGTTTGGATTGAAGGAAAAAGTAGGGAAAGGAAGAGAAATGTAGGGAAACCTTTTACAAACCTTGTATAGGTTTCCCTACCTTTCCCTACTTTTTTTTTCAAACCAAACATAGCCTTAGAGGCCTCCTCTTCCTCATTTTGACATGTCTGCTACATCTGAAACCACTGCAGATCATTTACCAATTCATTTCTCTCGATAGAGCCTTGTTCTTCAAGAATCCTGATTTCTTTTTTCTTTTTTGTTTTCTAAATTTTGGGCAAGCTTTAAAATAACAAAAAGCCTAGCCTTTTCGTTTACTTGTTGCACATCCTCTTTTTGTAACAAGCCTCCGAAAGTTTGTGGGTAAAACTGGGTTTTAAAAAGATTAAACATATCACGTCATGCCACATCTAAATGGATTGTGAGCGACAACAGAAGGGTAGTATGTGTCATATTTCCAAAAGTTCAAGGGTACTTTATGTAGGTTTTACAACATTAGGGATACTTGAAGTAATTGTAAGATAGTTCAGAAGTACCAAGTAATTAACCCTTAAAGAAAAAATAAACAAAATGGAGAAGAAAATGAGAAGGAAATCCATGAAGAATCTTCAAATCGTGAACATCCTATTCTTTGCAATCTTCTTTGCCTCTGTTCCACTTAAATGCCTTAACCCATTCTCCTTCAACCATTTATCCTTTCTTTCCTCCATAACCTCCAACTGTTTCTTCCCCATCCTCAACAGCCCCAAACCCCACAGGCCCTTGGGAAAAATCATTTAGGCCTCAACTATCAAGCTCCAAAATTCCAAATAATACCTCCAAACCATTTCTGTATCACTCAACGTCCCCACACCCATCATAAATTTCACATTGCTCCCTTTTTTTATCAGCAAATTTCACATGCTCATGAAAAGACCATTGAAAAGCCAACCAGTCTATCCTAGCAATCAGGTTTCACCATAGACCAATAAAATCAATCTCACTCAAACCTTCATGCAGCTTTGAAAGTTTTCCCTGCAGTTGCAGATAATCCAGACCTCAAACAAAACACTTGGACAATGTCCAACTTTATCCCCCTTCAGCCACTGCTTCCTATTCTTGACATAATCTCTGCATTGAACATCGAATCCTCTATAACTGGTAACTGCTTGATATATTTTCAACCCATTCTAATCTGAACTCCTTCAAACTTTTGATTTTCTCCTTGAAAGTACCATCCAAAGTTCACTCGGCCCTGCAATTGAACCACAAAAATCAACTCCAAGTCCTATTGCACATTACTGAGCTGCATTTATGGAAACATTTTTTATTTTGATAAATAACAGAGACTTTTATTAAAAGATAATAATAGAAAAGGTACAAAAGGAGGGGTAAAAATTCTTAACCCTCCCAAGAAAGCAATTCAGATTACAATGTTGCCCAGAAGAAATTAACTCTTCCCACCTCTTGTTTGGCCAATGAATCTGCCAAGGAGTTGGCGCACCTCTTTATCCATTGAAACTTGACTTCCATATTTTGGGTGAGATGTCTAACTTTCTTTTTCTCATTCAGAAACTTCCACAGGCTAGAAGTATCCTTCATCAACCAATTTATAGCCAATTTATATGCTCCAAGCTCTTATCTAAAAAAGCTTAGAGAAATATAGGAAAATACAACAGTGAGGCAACTATCAAGCTAAAGAGTAGTAACCGTTAACCAAGATTCTCTATGCAGTGCCATTAGGTAGCTGAGCAGCGTTTGCAGGTGGATTGAGCTCATCCCAAGCTTCGATCCATGTGACCATGGCATCTGCTAGCTTGGCAAAGTAGGGATCTACTTCCCCAAGCCTAGCAGTGTAACACATCTGAACAGTGGTGCATTCCTTTGGAAAGGTTACTGACTGGAAGAAAGGGATCAGCTCTTCTTGCCAATAAATACCCTTGTATTCCTTCGTAAGATTCACGAATGGATTGCTTGCTTTGCTGTGCCAGATGTAGGGCAAACCAGTTTTGATACCCTATCCCAAGTGGTCACATATCTATCACCTACAAAATCACAAACCAGAGGGACAAAATTTCAACATTTTTCTATGCCAAAAGTTTTCTTTGCATTTATGCCACATTTTGAGGCAATATGAGAAATTCAAAACTAATTAGGCAGGAAAACAGACAATTCATACAAGAACAAAGATCTAGCTTCATAGTATCACAATAAAACTCATAAGAAAAAGAAGAAACTGAGAGATGGATTTACCTTACTGCMCCAGCCAGCCCACATATCGTCATAGTCATAGCGCCCAATTGGTTGACCATCACCCATGAGTCCAAAGTACATTGCAGGACCAATCATTTCCCGGTTGGATGCCAGATTCATACCACACATAGGGAACAGGGTGCCCTTAGGTACGGTCAGAACCGCATCGACATACCTGATAAAGATAAGAAAATGGTTAACAAACACCAAACATGGAAAGAGCTAGGGTACATAGCAGGATCTTCTGCCACAAAAAAGACCACCACACCACACCTTGTGTTTCGCTCAAGAGGCTTGACAAGCTGGGTGGGAGCATCATAATCTGGGATGTTGAGCCAAAGGCCATGAGAAACAGCAGTTGGTACACCCTCATGTAGACTGAAAGGGTATCCATGGACAAAGTCTGTGCCTTCTCGGTAAGGATCATACAGAGTGTTTAAGAAAAACGAAGTAGATGGGGAAAGAAGATTTTTTATGTGCTGCTCCAGTGCATTGATCTGTTTGCAAGATGGATCCTTAGCAACCTGTGTACATCTAAGCACAAACACTGAAACACTTAGATAATAAAAAAAGAAGAGAGAAAAAATAGAGAAAATCCAAGCATAAAGATCCTGTAATTGATCCCAAGCATCTAAAACATCCAAATTGTGCAATTTAAAGTGGCTTTTTTTTTGGTACTAAACACTTTTAGGTGGCTTAAACTATAGGAATTGGTGCTTCATAATGATCCTCTCCCTAAGTCCTAGCCCGGTACCAGGAGCCCGAGCTCCCTAAAACCCGAGCTCCCTAAAGAACCCGAGCTAAAAGGACCCGAACTCCCTAAAGAACCTGAGCCTCC